TTCCACACATTTCGTAAACCTTGCACTCCATTTCGTCAACTTTGCAACACATTTCGTAAACGTTGCAGCTCATTTCGTAAACGTTGCAGCCCATTTCGTAAACATTGCAACCGATTTCGTCATTCTAACGCCCAATTCGTCATTCTTGCAACCAATTTCGATACGTTGCAACCAATTTCGTCATTTTTAACGCCCTAATTCGTCATTCTTGCAAGCAATTTCGTAAACCTTGCAATCAATTTCGGCAAAAATAAAATTTCGCTGAAACTTATCCTACAGGGGTTATCGAGGCACTGATCACGAATGTGACATCCGCTTGGCGCTGGCGCCAAATTGGCGCCACTTGGCGCGTGGTTTCGCCGCGACTCATCCCCGAGGTTACGTACTTCTCCCACCCTGCGCCATATATGGAACGTGAAACGGCAAAATTTTCACACTCACACTCAACCCAAAAGCCCACCCTACAAGAACCCACTATCCATTCCATAGAAAACATCCCTTTCCTTACTGTAACATTGACGCTACCTCGCGAAATACGACCCCCCTCCACCCCCTCGTTGGACTTTGTCCACCGGACGGTTGACCCTGGTCGTGAGGAACTCGAGGGGAGGAAACCTCGTCTTATGGTTAGGTTAGTATTCACCTTTCACGGCTAACCTTGTTGTGTTGCGAGCCAAAATCCGGAGTTGTTAGTTGATTTAATTGACACTTGTACATATTTTACATAGACATTGAATTCTACACCGACGTAAGTGTTACTCAATGGGGCACCCTTACGCAGACTTAGCCTTGGAGAAGAGGATGAATGTGGGTAATGAAAATTGATTACACATCCCTCTAGTCTCAAAGCCTAAATCTAGGGAAACCGGTAGGGGGAGGGCGAAGGAAAGCTGAGAATGTTGGCCTGTGACGGCTTGACTTTGCATGATATGTTCTGTTCAGTGTTCGCTTTTTACTTTTGCTGAATAGGAGTCTGATGCGCATTACCACGAAAATTCACTGCAGACTCGCTGTAAACTTTCTAGCATTCGTTTTTAACATAGGTGTTGTTCAACGCATATTTCCCGATATAACCGATGGGATGGCGCTGACGAGTGGAAATAGAGGCCAAATGGGGCCGTCGTCAAGAAATTAATATCATAATCGTAACCAGGGCTCGAAATAGCCCCTATACACAAGTTTACAGCGGATTCGCTGGGAATGAGTGGCCTAATTGGCGCCAAATTGCGCCAAATTTGGCGCCAGCGTCAAAAGCGGATGTCACATCGTGATCTGTACACGAAACGACCCTTATAGGATAAGTATTTCAGCGAAATTTTTACTTTTGCCGAAATTGATTGCAAGGTTTACGAAATTGCTTGCAAGAATGACGAATTAGGGGCTAAAATGACGAAATTGATTGCAAAGTTTACGAAATGTGCTGGAACTTTGACGAAATTGGTTGCAACGTTTACGAAATCGGTTGCAACGTATCCGAAATTGGTTGCAAGAATGACGAATTGGGCGTTAGAATGACGAAATCGGTTGCAATGTTTACGAAATGGGCTGCAACGTTTACGAAATGGGCTGCAACGTTTACGAAATAGAATGCAAGGTTTCCGAAATGGAATGCAAGGTTTACGAATTGGAGGGGAAACCCCTGATTTCCTCCTCATCCCGACTTCTACCTGTAGCCATTCAATTGAAACCAGGGCGGCAACGATAGCTGAACTAGGCGTTAGAATACTGTAATCGCTTGCTGTACGCAATTGCACGGGCGCAGGGTGGGATAAATACGTAACATCCTCGTCCCAAACAACATTCGCTGTAAACTTGTGTAATAGGGCCTATTTCGTACGTTCTGATTACGATAAATACATTAGTGCCTTTAACAAGATGTTGTTTCAAAACTCATATTCTGATCATAATCGATGGGTCGCGCTGCGAGTGCAAATGCGAGGCAAATGGGGCCGTCGTCAAGAATTAATATCATAATCGTAACCAGGGCTCGAAATAGCCCCTATACACAAGTTTACAGCGGATTTGCTGGGAATGAGTCGCGGCGAGACCAGGCGCCAAATGGCGCCAATTTGGCGCCAGCGCCAAAAGCGGATGTCACATTCGTGATCAGGTGCCTCGAAATGTGTTGGAACGTTGACGAAATTGGTTGCAACGTTTACGAAATTCGGTTGCAACGTATCCGAAATTGATTGCAAGAATGACGAATTGGGCGTTAGAATGACGAAATCGGTTGCAATGTTTACGAAATGGGCTGCAACGTTTACGAAATGGGCTGCAACGTTTACGAAATAGAATGCAAGGTTTCCGAAATGGAATGCAAGGTTTACGAATTGGGGTGGAAAACCCTGTATTATGTATTGGGCCAAAATTTTCGAGGTTAGGTGAAAAATGCGATTCTCTTCGAAACGCAGGCCGTAGGGGTAGAACAGCGCTCTGGTCACGAATATGTCATAGTTTGTTGAAGCCACCGCTGTCTGGCGCAATTTCGCTGGTACATTTTCTGTCTGCTCTTGGTGAAATCTTACCTCATCTGGATTATTAACGGTTCTGGTTTTGAATAAGACATTCATTTGGCACTAGTGCAATTTCGATCAATTAGAAGTGTCAACAAAAAATGCAAAAAGTGCGGAGCCTCGGGGATCTGAACCACCAACCCCGACCAAGCGTGCTCATTTGAAGTCCGCAACGCTAATCACTATACCATCGACGCTGCTAGATGGTGTTGGCCAAATGCTCTTATCGAAACTTCCACACGCTCTTCAGTACACAGCATCACTCACTACGATAACTTTCAGTTTTGACCAAACTTTGCGTTGTTTTCGTTCTGTTCTTACACACCGAAGCACGAGTTTCTCTCAGGGGATGTTCGGTTTCAGAGAGGCACTTAGCTTAGCTCGCATCCCTCAGAATAGGCCAAACCCATTCTCTATCCTGAAAGGCCTGAGTCGCGTAATGTCTTTTAAATTTTTCTGATGACACAGCTGAATCTCCTATGCGACTTTTGTACGATTTGTCGAGGACTGAATACCTTGGCTTTCTTTATTTCTCCGTCATCTACAGCTAGAGTTCAAAATCCATTATCTTCGTCCTCAGGTCCTTCTCCTCAGTCCTGGAAGAGTTGAATCCATGGCTTAAAGGGCATCAAAGAGTAAGGGCCGTTGCTGAATCTTTTGCATACAATGAGTGAGATTCGTTGGCCTTTTTTCCTTCCTTGAATATATACCCTCAGCCGATGATTTTCGATCAGTCCTCCTCAAGCAAGTTTTGGCACGAAGAACATCGGCTCAGTGGCGCCTAAAATTTCACAATATGTGTGCTGGATCGCTCTTTCGAACGTATGGTCTGCCATTCTAAGGGGTTGTGTTAAAGCTGAGAAACAAAGGCACAGACGAAAGCGACATTTCAATCTTGCGAACCTAACAGTTTAACTGATTGCTGCGGGTCAAACTCGCAAAATGCATTGACCATAGTTGTGCAGAATTTGAAAGTGGGTGTCCTTCCGAGTGGAGTTTGCTTCTTCTATCCCTGACGGCACCTTCCGCGTAAGCCGGCCAAGAGCCTTTGCCACTCCCGCGTCACCTTAAGGCCCGGATAGGATTCATGGGAGTATGAAAGCCAACGACCAGATATGAGAAAAGCAGAAGCAGCACATGAGAAATGTTGTGAACATGCTTCCAATGGAGTGGCATTTCTTGGCTAGATTTCTAAGGTCAAGCGCACACATGAAATCACGTTGAAAAGCACTGCTGGAAAAGGAGAATATATGTACATGCAGACTAGCGCAGGGTAATGGGTCTAAAAACCGAATGCAAGTGTCCACGTTTCTTTCTATTTTTCCAAGATCTTCTCTGCTTTTCCAAGAAGGAGAATTTTTTGAAGCATCAATTTTCCAGTATAGAGATCTGTTATTCGTGTTTCCAACTCACGCATTCGTACTCAGTCAGATAAGCGACACAGGACGGAATAAGATTTTCACATCATTTATTTTCTTCGTGAGTGGAAGTTTCGTTGACTAGATCTCAGCAACCTCGAAACCGACGGTAGTCTGTCCAAATCTTACTTTTATGATGCGCATTTTGAGGGAAAGAAGAAGCGTATAACTATTTCGTTGTCCACGCAACAGTATGTTTTAGCGCTGTGGTTTTCCTAGAGCGCTATCGTAATTCGATTCTTGGTTCTGTCTCAGAAAGAAGATGGGAGAAGGTAAGGTTGAGCTGAGCAACGCATTCATTCCCTTTGTGGTGGCATATCATTCATCGAGACTATTTAGAAGGCTGTGCATCCTGATGGTACTGAGGGGCAGGAGGCTGGTGTTCAGAAAAATTCAACAGAGGTCACTTTGGATATTCAGGTTGTACAGATATGAGCTTGGAACGTAATACCGTAACACTGGCTACAACACAAAAACATAACTTGTCAGTGTTGTTGTCTTTCCCATCATTGACAACTTTGACTCCATTCCTTGGGAATTCACCGGATTCGGATTCAAAGAAAGAGGGCATTGAGTTTGTTCTCAATTTCTCATAAATTATAACTTGCTGAATAAAATAAGGCTGGAAATTGGACGAAACATGCAACGTTGAGCAGAAAAAGTACTCATTGAATACGACGAAGTCTGGAGAACTTCTACTTTAGCAGCTTTTGTCTTTACGGAAGCCGAGAGATGGCAGTTGTCGGAGACGCCGGTTTTTGCCGCCTACATTTCTCAGCTTCGAGTACCACGTCTGGACACATGGAACTATTGGTGTAAACAAAATTAAGCCGTTGAGCAGGATTTTTTTGAATACCATACCTTACATAGTTGGACAAAAAAACATTGGCAAATTTACATGTTACAAGAAAATTTACGATCTTATGTTCCAATCTCCGTTAGCCACTGTGTTTAGTGAATTCACCAATGGGTTTTACACTAATTCAACTCGAAGAAAAAGGCCCAGAAAACTAAATAGCTGGGTGAAGGAAACTTATGATCATAGCGTATCTCAAAAATGATTTATCAGGAACTAACAAAATACTATGGACGGAAGTGTGCCTTGAAAGGAATCACGTTCGGTGTTCAACGTAATGACTGCTTCGGATTAGTTGGAGCTAGCGGAGCTGGCAAGACAACAGCATTCAGTATAATAGTGGGCCTGACATATAAAAACAGTGGCAAAGTGTTGCTCAACGGTCGCGTTGTGAGAGGTATTCCTGTAAGTTTCGCATCAATTACTTGAATACTATAAAAGAATCATTCTCACTCAGCTGCCTTCGAACATTTTTGATGCATTGATCAACATCGTTGCCGCATTCTCCCCAGAATGGCGCTCGAAGAAAACAAGTGACAACCCTCACTATTGGAGAAGTCTTAGCGATAGCCTCCTTTGAAGTGGCAGGATACTCCGGTGTTGGAAATTATAATCAAGTGGTTGAATGGTGCAACAGTGAAGGAAAACGCTAAAAATTGATCTTGTTTTGACAGTTGGTTTTCGTGCCGAATTAGTTTCAGTTGCGTCGCAGTTCCGCATTTTGAAATGCTTGCATCCTCTTGGAACCCGCAAGCCCGACGTCTCCAAAACGGCATACCGTGACTGAAACTGGAAAATCTTCGTAAATTCAGGAGATGACGGTGATGGCTCACCGCTTTTTGCGGTTGCAGATGAGAAGAACGCTCTGTTTGTCTTTTTTAAATGCCTATGAATGATACTACCAACGCAGAAATTTGACACTGCCGCCCATGAGGTACATCGTAGATTAACGGCTCGTGCAACTGCAGCATTGTCTACCCCATTAACGGGGAGCATTGTATAACTCAAATGGTCTTGAAATGCGTTTCTGGAGAGTAGTTTTGATGCTTTTATCCCGATCGTGTTGCCTTACTTTCCCTGTTTCCTAGCATTTTTACACAGCAAGCTGTGTCTTTGTGTGCCTATTATAGCGCGTGCATTTTTCTCCACTTAAACGCGTCATCAAACATGGTCCTGATCGGCTTCTCCCAAATTTCTATAATGTTTAGTAGAATACATAATAGACGCTAATACGAAACGAAATCATGCAAAGCAAATCATCCTTTTCTCTTGGTTCAGTTAGATCAGGCCAAGAAGATGCAGGAGCTGCATGTGATATAACGGTGCACTCGAGCAAGACCCTAAAAAATATGCACTGCCTAAACTGCCCTTTTCCCAAAAGTTGTGTAGCACTAGCAAAAATTTAACCACGCCCACCTAAAAAATTCACGTGGCCGATTATCCGGGCGTTGCAGTCAATTATTTGGTGTTCAGACGGCGGGGCCCGCCGGGGTGAAAGCGAATCCCAGCCGTTTTGCGTTTTTCAGAAAAAAAGGGTATATTGACTCAAAAGATTCTTCACTCCGGTGGCGAGGGTGGGAGGGGAAGCACGGTTTTCTATCGCACTGGTATGTTACAAGAAGTGTAATGAGGACCACCTCTTCTTGTAAAGTCGACCGCTACGCGGCAAGGAGGGAGAATACGCGCAGAGTGCGTGGGATGGGCGTAGACAGTGCGTAGACACTGAAGTGCGAACGCTGCGAACGAGTGGAGAAGCAGTGGTGACGAGGATCAGGACTTGTCATAAAAATAAAAGTTCTTGTCGCTCTTTTTTAGATTGCAACAGTGCCTCTGCTTTTGATGCTTCGACATAAAATGCTGAGTCTTACAGATGTAGCCATGTAACGACGGCATCAGAAAAGAATGCGTCGTCCCTCAAACAACTTGATAAATAATGCGAAGAGTGTAAATATGCTTTTAGGAAATTGTTATTGTTCATACATCTACCATTTGTTATTCTCGATCCTTGCTCTCTTAAAAAGCATATTTGAGTGAATAAGCTTACTGTATTATAATGTCTTCGTTGTTTAAGGGAATTGGTTTCTGTCCTCAGTTCGATTCGCTGGCTGATAACCTTTCTGCCTATCAGAACATGGTGATCATAGCCGGTATGAGAGGTAGGCGCAACATTCAGAGCAGTGCTCACGGATACCTCTCTTGTGAAGCATGGTTTCAGGATATCGACATCCTGGGCGAATAGTAAAGGAAATTCTTCGGCAGCTGCAGTTGACCAATCATTGTCAAAAAAGCTTTGGTCGACTGAGGTTGAAAGGAAATATCTTTGCATTTGCCTGTTGTTTCGACTCCTCTGCAGAGTTTCATATTGCAGTGGTGGACAGAAGCGTCGAATAAGCACTGGTGTGGCCATATTGAATTCCTCGAATCTTCTAGTACTCGATGAACCTACAGCCGGTATTGATCCAAAGGTAAGCTTTGGCGCAGATTCCACGTTATTAAGAACATGGCAGAATAGCATTCCTCTTATAGCATCAAGGTGACCAATTATTTATTTCATTGCTTGCAAAACAAGTATGCCTATGTCGTGCCAAACAAGTTAAAAGGATTAGCTTAACGTCATATTCTTGAATTCTCAAACAGTGGCTCCAAGGCTGTTGGTATATTTGTCGCTGGACGTGCTCCGAGAGTAACGCGAACGCTAACGATTTCGCGAATAATCACTGCCGATTATGGTACATAAACGTTTTATAAAATCGATGATGCAAACTCACATCGAAAATACTTTGAGACGTCTTTATGAGTTTTTGAATTGAGTTCCTCCATCAAATCTACCTCACACTTAGCCAAGCTTCTTTAGCTTCTAGTACGTCGGATAAATCCTGAGGCCTAAATATTTTGATTAGACGGTAGGATCTTCCCAAAATCCATGGTAAAAGCCTACGGCGAAAATTTTGCAAGCTTCCCAACCGTCTTAAAATGGCGAATTACTTAGGAGTAGTCCAGATTCAGCACAGCATCAGATCAGCTGTTAGGAGACGGCAAAGCTCCTTCCCTCAGAGGTCACCAGGTGCCCTAGGTTCGACGTCGCGATTGTAAGAAGTGCTACCATTCAGCGACTGTAATTGTACATGGAAACTGTGCAGCGTTGGTCGTGCGGTGTGTGTTCGAGCCACTTGTTAAGGATGATTCGGTACCTCAAATATGAAGAGTACTATACGAATTTTTGAATTTCCCGGTGTTCTTTGAGTACTATCAACAGTTGGTTTCTACTGTCACAGATTCCTTCAGTTGCGAACAAATAGTCCACCCACTTTCAGGAAAGTCACCATGACCTTTTTCTACCTCTTTCAGTGTTGCGGAGTTGGTGGATATATTGTATAATATATAGCATAGTATTATATCCTCCCTCGCTCTCGCACGCTTGTCAACACAGGCTTTTGAGCTGCAGCATGAGCTTAGTGCTATTGTAATTGAGTAACATATGCTTTCAATGGATTTAACTGTTGAGGAGATCGGGTTATAGAGCAATTTTTCATAGTTCGTCAATACCAATGAACATTCAAATTTTTCTGGAACTAAGCAAAGTCTAGCAGCAGACTGAGCGTTGAATAACTAATACAAGTTACTGGGCTGCTTATTATCAACCCTCAGCGTAAACATCTACCATGCTTGGATATTGGGATGGTTTAGCGGTCGAATAACTTCTTATGCCGGTGATGAGATAGAAATACAATACTTATCGTATTTGCACAAACACCGACCATTGAGAAGCTCGGGCAGATTAGCGGTCGAATTGGATCACGACGATTCGCGAAGAAATGAGATTTTTTTTATCACGCATCTGGACATTTGCCTTACGACGATCCTTATCAGACTCCTATCAGCTGTATTCCCTTCCGGTCCTATTCAAACGTATTCCCTGTAACACCCCTTATATCATGTATGCAAAGCAACACGTCAATGCTACCGAGCCTCCCGCTGAGTTCCAACGCTTCTTATCAGCCCCTATCAGCTGTTATCACTTTCTGGTCCCCATCAAATATGTTCCCGTCCCACCCCCTATATCATATCTGCAAAGCAACGCCTCAATGCTGCTGGGCCTTGCGCTGTGAATTTCGTGACATTTGCGTTCCAACGCTTCTTATCAGCCCCTATCAGCTGTTATCACTTTCTGGTCCCCACCAAATATGTTCCCGTCCCACCCCCTATATCATATCCAAAATCAGCTCCTAACGACTGCTGCGACGCGTGCTATGAATTTCGTGACACACGCACACGCACACACAAACAGACAGATATAGCGTTTTATACATAGTAGAGCACAGGGTAGCGCAAAATCACGTGCACCATGGATCCCGTCCGAATTTTATTTCTTGTCCACGGAAAAGTCAAGAGTAATTATTTTAACAAAACTTCAAATTATGACATTTTATAAGTGCAAAGAAGTTTTGAAGTAGCTGCCATCAGTTTTGATACAGGCCAAATTGTTTCTTCAGCGAGTCGATGGTGCGGCGGAGGTGTTCACGCATATTTCATTCCAAATTTTAGCAGTTCTTTTTGAAATCACCAAACTTTTTGCATTTCGATTCTTTACCAGTTCTTCAATAAAATCCCAAACAGAGAAGTCTAATGGATCCGAATTCGGACTATAAGCAGACATGAATCACTGATCACGTGACTGATCATGCACTGATCACGTGGCTATCATGCACTGATCACGTGACTGATCATGCACTGATCACGTGGCTATCATGCACTGATCACGTGACTGATCATGCACTGATCACGTGGCTGATCATGCACTGATCACG